AGGAAAAGGAGGAGGAAAAGGAGGAGGGCACTATAATGAAAAATGTCTAGTACTTTATGAAAACCAACTTTTATTTTTTACATAAGAAAACTCAATAAACGGGAAAATTACATGTCTCAGCTTCCTTTTCCTGCTTTGACATCAGACTTTATTTCCAACGTGACCGTGTGTTCCAGGGAAATACAAGAGCGCAGTGACAACTGTTGGGCAACGTGAACCCAAACCCATGCACTGGATGGAAAACAGTCTATGTACATTAAATCCACCAAAAGAACTCTCACTGTGTGATTGCTTTCAGTATCCCTCGGAGAACTTTGTAGCTCATGAGCTGTTGGCTTTCCTTGGGAGGAAAGCAGGGACCGCGCTCGGTGACGTACGCATAAGGGAACCTAAGCACCCACAGCCCATCGGAGGGGAGGGTGATCTCCTGCTTCTCAGGGTAGAATATAGGACAAGGTGGTGGCCCTGGTTGAACCTGGAATCAAAAGAAAACATGGGTAGATAATCAAACATCACTGCCACCTTAAAAAGTAATGAAGTGCATATGGAGCTTTTTCACCATTTTTAATACACAGGGAAGAAATCTCTAATTAATAAAAAAACACCACCTTTTCACATCCTGAATTCAAATTCTAACTAATAATAATTAATCTCAGCCATGAGTCACTGCTTTTCTGCATGACATTTAAAATGGTAAAATCATTCTTACACAGTCATTACTCACTTATCCTTTTTTTAAAAAAAGAAGCCAATATTGCAGTGGGAAATGCCAATAACCCAACCTTGATAGAATATCTTTTAAAACTTACTTTATACAAAGTAGAAAACTGGCATATGCCAATCTTTAAGTTGAAAAGCCCCAACTACTTATAAAACAGATATTTTAGGCAACTGCTGCCTTAAAGAACTTGGCTGAAGTTGGTTTGAGTTGGAAGGGCTTTCCTGCCACCCTTTTCCCATCACCCTTGTGCTTTCCAGTCCTGCAGCCAATGTTCCTCCAACTATCCCTGCCTCTGCTGTTCCCAAAGTGCCAATCCCATCCTTACCTGAGGTGTTAATGTGATCTGCAGTGGAGCATCAGGAACCACCACAAAGAGCCTCATGAACTGAGCATAGTGTGGCTTGAGGCCTCGTCCCTGCGTGGAGGACAAGATGTACAGGGGCATGTCAGAATTGAGGGCTTTGATGGCAGATTCCTTTGGTCCTCCTCCCATCACCTTCATGACCTTATCAGGCCCTGAGCACATGAACCTCCTCCCACGTGCGTCTTCGTATTCAAACCCTACGAAAGCTCGAGCGATGTCGTCTCTCCGTCTGCCTCTTCCCATCACAACTGCACTTCTTTTCCCAGGAACAGCCTTGTTAGGTGCAGGCCAGGAATTGGTGTCTAAGTCTCCTTCATCTTCAGTTCTTGTCCTGATGACAATGTCCCAAGGCATTAAATAGTTTGTTCCTGGGATAAAGCCTTGTTGATCTAAGCCTGTGTGGAAGTTATAAGCCTTAGCAGGGCCCAGCTTAACCAGTGACCAACTGGAGAATTTGGGTAACAGGCCTTTGGGACAATTGGAGTGGAGCATCCCAGGGAGGTACTCGACGGTGGACGCTTGGCGATCCACCAGGCTCGGCCTCTTCTCACTTTTGGAGTCCCCACTCTGCCCATGACCCTCTGCATTGTCTGCTCCACCCTGGGCATCGGGTGGGTAAGTGCCCAGGCTGCCTGTGGACTGGCCCAGGCTGAGGGCCAAGCTCAGGCCTGTGCTTTCTCCCTGAGTCTGAGGTTCTTTCTCCTTGAGTTTCTCAATCTCTCCTTCCGGAGGAGCAGGCGATGACTCATCCCGAGCAGGCGCCGGATCAGGTGTGCTTGGCTGAAATATGGGAAAGTTGATGTGCTCCAGTTTCCCACAGCACTTTTCTTCCAGCAGCTACAAAAAAGAAAATGTGATTAACTATGCCCCTTCCACCTCTGAGATCAGGGAGTTCAGAGCCACAAGATTCAAGAGGTCTGAAGCAAAGCAGCGATGGGAACACAGCCCACAGGCATGACCACTTAGAATCCACAGGAACCAACACACTCCCAGTGCAAACAGGTGCTCCTGTGTGTGTGTGCACTGGTGAGGACTGGAACTGCCCATGGGTCAGTCCATTGTGCAGACAATTTCTGCTCCCAGAAATAACTTCCCCAAGCGAAGTTTACAAGGTGATAAAGTTAAGAGGAAACCTGTGGTCACTTCAGAATACAGACTGTGCTGGTGAAACAAAAGCACTGCTTGAAGCAACAACAATAGTTACCTGGTAGAAGTCATAATTGGCTGCTTTGATATCAAAGGGGTCCTCCCGAGGAGCTTGTTTCCTCCCACAGTTACAGGCACCGGTGGAACGAGCGCGGCTGTTGTGGTACAGGATGGGAGGGTTTCTGTCTGCTTCTGGCTTTTCCCCTAAAAGCAAAACCAACCAAACCCTTGGCTCATCACAGCTAGAGATACTTGGATTCCCTTCATCCGCTCTTTCCTCCTTGCTGTACACATATGCAAAAGGATTTGCCAGCAACGCCAGTTCGTCAAGCAATTCCTCCCTTTCCCACTTGTAATACAAAGCTCCAGGGGAGGTTATAGCACTAAACTTCTTTGGTTTTACAACCTCTTCCTAAAAGGCTCAAAGTTCTACCTGCAATAAGCATATAGCTTTGGCTCCTTTATTGCCATCACCAAGTTTTTTGATACAAATGGATGGCACTTTTGCTTCCTAGAGAACTTCTGTTCTTACACACCTCCTGTTAGGACTCCAGTGTTCTGCTTCTAATTAGCAAGATGGAAACAGAGTTACCTCTAAAACCAAAGTTACTACGAACAGTGGATTTGCTCCTAAACATTTACTCAACATAAAGGAAACCTGCACAACAGCTCTGCTATAATCCCACCAGACAAATGTGACCACAGAATCATTTAGGTTGGAAAAGACCTCCAAGAACATTGAGTCCAACCTATGATTGATCATCACCTTGTCAACTAGATCAGAGCACTGAGTGCCACATGCAGCTGTTTCTTGACCATCTTTGAAGCTGTAAACTTTAACTTTCCACAACATGCCAAAGCTGCTGTTTCCAGCCTAAGACATCTGAAAGCAGCTACAAAATTAAACCACAAAACCCAACTACAACCAAGCATCTTTACCTGCTTTTGGGAGCAGATGGAACTTGTGCACACAGTGCTGGTCAGTCAAACTCCTCTCCTCACAGAGCTGGTGCCCATTGCTCCAGAACTTGTAGCAGTCCTCGTTGAGCTGCATGGCATACTTGTGGAAGGCTGGGCCACGGGCGTGCTGGCTGTACACCCGCAGGGCCTGGGCCAGCTGGTTCTTGTGGACTGTCATGGTGTAATTGTGGGGCAGGTTGGACTGGTAGGCACTGTGGGCCATGGGCAGAGCCTTCTGGCAACGGTTTTCTGAGAACTTGGTGTCTATATCTAAATAACCTTCCAAGACTTTGATGCTGCTCATGATTTTGGAGCTCAGCTCCCCAGTGGTGGGGTCATCATCTTTGCCTTCAATGGTCACTTCATACAGTTTCAAAGCTGCAGCAACCCACTTCTGGTAGGTTGGGAGCTCGAAGTGTGAGGGCTGCGGGTTCCTCCCCACGCTGTCATCGAAGCCCTTCTTGCTGAGCACCAGCTCCACGTGCTGCCACAAGAACTCCTTGAGGGTGCAGTCCACAAGCTGCCCAGAGGAGCTGGAGCTGCTGCTGGTGCTCTCTGCGTGGAAGGAGAGCTGCTGCCTGCCATGTCTCATCATCTGGTACCTCCTGGGTCCCGACAGGGCGGGAGTCAGCAGAGAGTCAGTCTCTCTCATGGTGCAGTTGCTCCTGAGCTGGTCCAGCAGCATGGCCACTGGGTCATCTCCATCCTGGGGCCCACCAGCCACGATGTACACGAAAGCCTGGTTAGCAGGCACGGTGAAGAGGCAGTTGATGCTCTGGTTGGTCAGCACCCTGCTCTTGCGGAAGATGCGGTAGATCTGATCCTCCAGAGCATGCTGCAGCCTCCTCTTGGGGGAATGCTTCTTGGGGGGTGGCTTTTCCAGGTGACCACAGGGGTCCTGGCCCCTGCTTGGCAGGGGATCCACCTTCAGAGCCCCGTTGAGCTGGAAGAGAAAGAGGAGGCGTGGAGGGCACGGCCTGCAGTTGAGCTTCCACTCCTTGCCCACGGGGCAGTCCTTGATGGCAGCTTTCAGGGAGGGCAGCACCTTCTGCCGCAGCCCATCCAGAGCCCTGAAAACACGGTCGTAGGTGATGTCAAAGGAGCAGGTGGGATGCACCAGCAGCAGGATGTGGCAGACAGAGAAGAGGTAGAGGAGGCTCAGGCAGTGCAGCTTCTCCTGGTGCTTCCAAAACTCGTGTGCCTCGGCGTGGGGCAGGGGTGCCGGCCCACCAGAGGGATGTCCGGGCCCAGCCTCCCTGTTCTCGGCCCTGGCCAGGTCCCCGCAGGCCCGCAGCAGCTGCGGCGTGTCGCAGATGGAGGTGAGCACCAGGTAGAGCACGCGGTTCTCCTGGCTGTAGTACGCCTGCAGCTGATTGTAGTCC